TGCGTTCCAAAGTAAACAGGACTTTAAAAAAAAAAGACAGAACAAATGGTTTTATCGCGTCGATCGATGAGACGGCGCATTATCGTGCAACAAATGCCAACTTCCATCTTCGCGATATTCGGGCCGAACATGTCGAATACGGCGCAGCAAATGCCTCAAAACTTCAAGGTAGAATACCGCATTAACGTTTTGACCGGGTGGAACAAATTCTTTGTGGACAATACCCTTGGAATCATAAAAACAAATCAGCATTGTCTTCACTTTTGACTTCTCCAGGTGCGATTTTTTGGGTTTCGGCTCAATTCTCATTTATGTCCTCACGACCACTTTGAAAACGTTGAAACCACTCGTGCGCTCTGCTATGGGATAGATCATCATCGCCATAAACTTGTTTCATCAATTGAAACGTTCGGGTAAAATTTTTACCAATTTTAAAACAAAATTTAATGTTGGCTCTTTGTTCGAAGCTCGTTTTCGCACCGATGACAAAAACATACTGACACTTAAAACGCAATAACTCCACTTCCAACAGATGAAATGTCATGAAATCTTTACTGGAAGTCGATAAAGGAAGGCAGCTCTAGAGTTTACTTTGTTACTTTTTTACTGCTTACTTTGGAACGCACCTCGGATATTTATTAAATTGTTTGAAAATAAGTTCCCAAGCATACCTACGCAATGTCAAAAATTAATGCTATCAGCCCTTTCATTTCTATGCCCTAATGATTTTAGTGTAGTTTTCGCTGACGGGAAGTAAAATATAGTAACAAAACTAAGTGAATCTATGACCTTCAAAATAAGTCAATATGATTCCAAAGTTGATTGTAATCCATTCAAAATTTCGTTCAATTACACTCGAACTTAGCACTTCCTTACTTGTGTAATATAAAGTTTTGCCAGCACCTGAAGGTATTTTCCCGGCTTTGATCCTTGCAATTGCAAGAGTATGAAATGTTCGGTTACACCCTATTTTAATCCTTCCTTACTTGTTTAATATAAAGTTTTGCAGCACCTGAAGGCCTTTGATTCCTGCAAGTTGTAGCCATGGTCGGTTACACCCGAACTTATCCTTTCCTTACTTGTTTAATATAAAGATTTACCAACACCTGAAAGTAAATCCCCGGCTTTGATCCTTGCAAGTTGCAAGAGTATGAAATGTTCGGTTAGACCCGAACTTAGCCTTTCCTTACTTCTTCAGTATAAAGTTTTGCAAATACCTTAAAATATTTAGCCGTTCTTGGCTCACTCTTTCTTTACTCTATAAAAATTAAATCTACTCAGCAAATATATGTTAATATACCATATATGTATAATATTACATATGTTAATAAAAGAATACTTACAACGTTTTAATACACAAGATGTAAAAAATGCAGCAGTAAAAAAACTAAAACCAGTTCTGTTCCGTTAAATTCGACTTAAAAAGGGAGTTTTAATTTTTATCTTAAATGAATCCACAATATCCCAAGAATATTATGTCTTAATTTTGAGTCGATTTTACCACAATTAACGAAATTATGGTTATTTTTATACCTGTCTTATAGTAGTGACACGAGCAAAATTAATGCGCCTTAAGAAATACGAATGCGAATTAAAAATTTTTTGGTAACAGACGGCAGTTTTGGACATTTAGAGAAATATGTTTATTCATTAAAAAAAAAAGTTAAATCAAAATGGATAAATTATTATTGGCAATTTTATTATTTTTAGAAAAACAACACAAATATAACGAAACAATTCGTATATTATTAAATGCATTAAAAGGTAATGAAACTGAATTTAACACCATATGGTACTTGATTGAAACGCAACCATTCGAGCCGGGATGCAATCGTTCATACACACGTACGAAAGGTTTGGAAATTCGAAAGTAAATTGGTATTTCATTTTGGAACTAAAATCATAAATTGTGTATTTTGGGAGCACGATTAGCAAAAATATTACATTTTTGGGCAGAGTTGCCTACTCAAATTGGATAATTCATCTAAATACATAAAAATTTTGTGCTTTGATATGCCACTGATTTGCATTAAAATGGGTCGAATGTCCCAGTTAATGCAAATCAACCCCGCAGATGCACATCAGCACTGTCGTCTGTCAATGCTAATATGAACGTTTTATATCAGATTTCCAAGCTTTAAAACGTTTTCCCCACAACTAACGTTTTTGTAACGTAACGTAACGCGGGAGAGTTTCTTCAATTTTGATATATTTCATTTTAAAATACAATCACTGCAATACGTTTCTCTTTAGCTCATCACTCGGCACTTTTTCCTGCGAATATGTATTCGCAGAATGCATAATATTTAAAGATTATCGTATTGTGAATTAGTTTCGCTGAGTCTGTTTGAATTTGATTAAAGAATTGCCGACTTTGAATTTCCGTTGTTTTAACACTTAGCAAAATTGGCTACTCTTAACATATGTGTATTAATTTATTAAAATGCTACAAAAACAAAGGTGCATTTACTGTTCGATAAAGCCCACTAATCATTTTGTAAAAGCAGGAATTAAACACATTACGTTAACTATGTTAAAAGAGACACAGAATCATTTTTGTTTTCAATTCTAATTGGTTACTGCTAAATTTCAAATTACCATATTTATTCGCCACTAAATGTACCTATAGGCGCCACTTGCATTCTTTAAAATTATAATCAATTGAGTGAGCCCGTGACTGTGATAAAACACATGTATGAACAAGACGAATTGTCCAAAGCTATGGTACTATTAATCAATGACCTCAATTAATATTGTGTTAATTTCATTAGTGTTTATTATGTTGGCTTCCTGAAAACACCCTCACATCATTAATATGTTTTCTGTCTTAGAGTAGGTGATTTACATATCAATTTCAATACAACTTAATGCATAAAAAGTGAATCCATCCTTCCCCAAACTATTATTTCCACACGTTATTTTAATATGCTCCTACCAAGAGTATAGCTCCAATCAAATGGACCACACACATCTGTTCAAATTTCGACTTAGTAGCAAACATATCAACACATGTATTTTTACCCATATCAAGAAATTAAACCACTCGCAGGTATTCTCTACTACACATACTATGTGTATACATATGTACAGGCAGACATACATGTGGGACTAGGTACAAATTTATTCACACAATTGCGTCAATACATGCGCTTGTGAAATTTTGCCCTGTAGGAAAACATAATTTTTTATTAAATTGGAGCAGTCGAATCGACTTTGAAATTTCTTTCATAATATACTTTCTGTCCTTAAGATAGTTTTTCTTTTTTCAATCATAAAACAGCATCTTAGTATTATGTTTTAATTTTAGTTAATCATCTCATATTCATCTCTATATAAAGATCCATCCTTATTTCACCAATGACTATCAAATAAATAAAATATTCAAGAATTAGAAATAAAGTGTGTTATATCAGTAACACACCAAGCCAACTTAACATTGCTTGATGCCTTTCTCTACAGGGTTTACGCGTCCATATCAACGACTTTGCTTATGTACCATACGTATGCATGTATGTTCATAGGTGTATTCGAATCAGTGAATGGATATGAGCACAGGTATAAAAAAAATCGCTAAAAGTGTGGATGCCTACACAAAATTAAAGGCCACGCTTCATAAAAGTGTTGAAGTTATGCCGCCGCTTCAGCCTAAGCTGTTAAAGAAGTTACAGAGATTGTTGTCGGAATTGTGAACACTGTTGCCGCCGAGGAAGCCGCCGATCTAAAAGAGCAGCCACTATACAAAAACTAAAATAAACAAGTAAGGAAGCGCTAAGTTCGGGTGTATACTCTCACAATTTCCAAACATCTAAGCAGGGGAAATACATTCATTAGATTATCCCACATTGACCGACATAAACGATTTAAAGTCTGATGTAAAGTCAAATTAAATGGAAATCACTATCTCGCGTATATTGGGGTTAGGGAGATCTGGACAATTGCATTAATTTCGGTGTAACTCAAGTATACTCGAAAATATGTTTCCATATAATTTTGCGAAAATAAGTTACACACTAACATATTCGACATATTCATAAAGTATGCAATAATAACAAAAATCATTATATAGGTATAAGGGAGTTGGGGTAGTTTGTGGACTGATTTTACACAGTTTCTGCAATAAACTATAGTATATCTAATATTATATGAGTATGTTCACTTAATTTTGCTAAGATATCTTACATACTGATCGATATATAGGCTATATTTAGTGCCAACCGGAAGTTTTAAATTCTTATGTTGAGTAAATGGGGATTACGGGTAGTATTAACTGATTTTATGCAATTTTATTACGATATATCATTACCAAAAAAGATGCTCTCTGAGCATCATGCCACTTTTGACGTTACGGAATATTACTAGATTAGTAAGATAACTCACATATTTTCTAATCTATATGGTTTAAAGTCAACCGTATATTGGAAAAGCTTTATACTAGGTTCATGGGGGCTAGGGGACGTATTCGCACGCCTTGATTCATTTTGAGCACAAGGATACTTTGCTTTAAAAAGATATTCTTTCAGAATTTTTTGATCGACAAAGGGTATTCGAGGCCCTGATAAGGTCCAATTTCGGCCATTTTGATACGTTAGTTGTCATATAGTGAGGGCTTTATATGAATAAAGTTTGCTTTCTCTAACTTCATTGATGGAATTAAGATGAAATTATGGCTTACACCCATCTGCAAAGCCGACCTGGGCCCGAAACGCGGCACTCGTTAATGAACGAAATTCTTGTATTTTTTTTTTGTTTTCGGATAACGGTACTCACTATCGAATGCATACTTTCGAAATTCCAAATTTCGTCATACGATAGGGAGAACTCGCACGTACGAAGAAAGCGAAATCTGACTCGTTAGCTAATTCTCAAGCGTAATATGTTAGTACGAATTTAAAAGAAATTTAAAAATAATCAGTTACAAATAGTCAATAGAAAAATGTAAGTTATTTTTCTTTTATCGATTGTATATAAATATATAATATTATAATTATAACTAATGATTTGAGGACACTTGTAAATAAAATTAATTGCGCCATACAAAGGAATCGTGAGCGGCTCCACCATATTTAAATTCTATAGTAGAAATACGATGTTCGTGGTCACAAATCTGCAAATATAAGTTTGCGATGTACTAATCTTAATACATAATTTCGCATATGCATAAATGAGTATGTATCATATACACATACATATTTTTTCTGTTGAAAAACTTATTATTTCGCAGTTGGTTTTTGAAGACGAAAATGTGTACCATTAATTCATCCGATAATTAAAAATTTTTATAGTTATTTGCACATCTTTTTCACTGTCATTTAGTCGACAAGTCTACCCCCTGGAAGTTTATATTTCTAATCAAAGTATTATGTGCACTGAGATAGGTAGTCAGGCGAAAACTTAATGAACTGTGACAAAGTTTTATTTCCATTCCTTTAACAACGTCCCGTACAATTTTACACATTGTCTAAGCCGCTTCCTTAATCTGTTAAGTATATAAAATACTAATTTAAATGGTTTAAATATACATTTTCTTACGCTGTTTTAGGTAAAGTCATGGAATTGCTTTTATCACGAATCCTGCATCTTAGGGCCTTATTCCTCATCTGAATTTGATGAACTTTCATAAAAAAGCATGATAGTGTTTATTTTAGTGCTTGCAAAAACTAAATTTAATAAGTTTCGATATAAATGTTTAATAAATTTAAATATTCCAATGCAAATATTTTTTTATTTTAATTTATTTTTGCATTTCATGTTATTGGTACATGTCATTTAGAGCAATACCAGGGAAGTTATTGCATAAAATTACTATTCGTTTCGTATCGAATACGATGATCCGGCTATTTTACATGTTACGAAATTTCACTCGATACGAATTCTCGCTCGCCCACGACAGCCACAATTCCAGCTCTGCCTTTGCCAAGAAACATATGTAGTAAGTTACATCAAGATGCCTAAATTTTTACTCAAGTTATCGCTTGCACGGTCAGACAGTCACTTGGAATTCAACTCGTCTTGCCCTTCGGATAATTTATATGTGCATATATAACTCCATATCCATCTCAATTAGTTTAGGGTGATACAAACAGTCGCGTGAACAAAAATATTATACTTTGTAGCAACATGTTACGAGAGTATACAAAATATAAATTTCCACTCATACCGCGGCCGCCATAAAAGCATTACAACAACAACAGACAGATACTGATTTTGTACGTGCGCAACAGCATTAAATAAATAGCAGTAAATGTTAAAATGGTTTTATTAAACTGTGGGTTTACGTCTTAGGTTCACATTGAATGAGACGAACGGCAAGAATAACCAGACCAACGTTTAGGTATTTGTGGCGTTTTGTCGGCATTCCTGTGCTGCTGTGAGAAAATTGAAGCTGCCCAGTAGTGGCGCATCTGAGATTTAGATATGAAATTAATGTGTGCCACCAAAAGAATTAGCCTTTAGTAAGCTTTACGATTTCTTTTTGTTAGATAATTTGTGATTGTTATTCTTATTTGTCTACTGCGTTTATGTAAACATTTATATATAAAATTTTGATTACACAATATACTATATTCACATATTACAAAGTAGGTTTCAGCACCTAATGGTTGTTTTAAGTCATATATCAAAAGGTTAAAACCAATTAAATGTTTTTTGTTGTAAAAGTCGTAATCAGTTAGGCGTTTATTATTTGGCCAATATTTAATACAATCCGTTTTTGTATTATTTATATAATATTTTGCGACATTGAAAAGATGCTGTTTGGAAAAGTATCAACACAGCATACTCAAAATTAAAACGGTTGTTGGTGTATAGTAAAATAGTAAATTTTTTGGTAATTACAATACTTAGTTTTAATATTATATTTCCTAGAAATATTAATGGTTTTTGATCGATTACTGCATTTAAAGTTAATCGGATTATTTCGTTAAAAGGCTGTATGTGACACTGTAAATAGTGTTTAAATATAGGATTAGTGAACAATCTTTGGTATTTTCTATATACGAGTATATGCATAGCATAGAGACCTCTCAAATACTAGTATTTTTCTAATTAAAATTTAAAAGGCTGACGCTTAGGCAGGAAAAGTATTATCACAACAATAAACTTTTCGTCCCATATTTATATGTACATACTTACTCTAAATTTGTAATATTTTTAATTTTTTTGTTTTTAGCCACGGTGAAAGCCGCAATCACTGCAGCAAATATTTTAAAATAACTTCAGAAACTCGCTAAAAATGCAATATATTTTTTTTTGTATATTCACTTATTGTGAATTAATATATCCTGAAAACTTAAAAACATTTCATGCTGAAAAAAGTTCTAACAATCAATTAATTAATTTAAATTGCTTACTTTGTTTTATGAAACAAAAATATTAGCTTTATGTGATCTAAGTAGAGGTACTTTTTTCAATAGCCTTTTTTGACAAATCACGCAAGAGCCGTGTCAGGCTGTTATGTTATTTTTGTTGAATATTGTTTGTCATTTCATCCTAGAAAGACTTACGCCTGATCAGCGTTTATAAATTGTTCAGCTCTATTACGAAAATTCGCGTTCTGTAAATAATATGTTTCGCGCGCTTCGCTCAACTTATGGTCAACATAATCGACCTACTAAACGTACTATTCGCAACTCCATCACCCATCTTGACGCACGCAGTGAAGAAAATATAGCGGCTGTAGCTGATAGTGTACACGAAGACCGTGGAGAGTCGATTCGGCGCCGTTTGCATTTTACGTCGAGATCTTAAATTGAAAGCGTATAAAATACAGATTGTGCATAAACTGAAGCCGCTCACACTTCCCAAGTGACATCGCTTTGCTCTATGGGCCAAGTTCCAAGAAGATCCGTCGTTCTCGAACCAAATTTTGTTCAGCGATGAGGTCCATTTTTTGGCTCAAGGGGTATGTAAACAAGCGAAAATGCCGCATTTGAGACGAAGAGCAACCTAAAGAGATTCAAGAGCTGCCATTTCATCCAGGAAAAATAACGGTTTGGTGTGGTTTGTGGGCCGGTTGAATCATCGGTCCATATTTCTTCACAAAATGATGCCAATGAAAACGTAACCGTACATGGCGACCATTACCGTGCCATGATAATTGACTGTTTGATGCCTAAAATGGAAGCTCGTGATCTCCGCAGCGTTTGGTTTCAACAAGACTGCGGCACTTCCCACTTATCGCATCAATCAGAGAGCACTTCGGTGGGCAGATAATTTCACCTTTTGGGCCGGTCGATTGGCTACTACGATCATGTAATATCACGTTACACTTTTTTCGGTGGGGATATGTAAAGTCTAAAGTCTATGCAGACAATCTCGTTTCACATCACGCGTGTCATTCGCCAGTTACCAGTGCTCAAACGAGTCAACGAAAATTGGTCTCAACGGATGGACCATATGAGACGTAGACGCGGCCAACATGTGAAAGATATAATCTTCAAAAATAAATGTCAAAGAATATTCTTTCGAATGATAATTAACTTTTCCCATTAAATTTAAATTTTCTGAGTTTTTTTTTTTTTAAATGTAGTAAACCTCGAAATCGATCAACCTTTATAATCAGCATAATTCGTATCTTAATATCTGACATTATACGAGATGAGTTCAAAGGAAAACGTGAGTTTCAAATTTTGTTTAAAAATACTGTTTTCTATCAATCATCATCTATCAATATCTATTTTGTCCACATTCAAATTAATCCCCCTTGGATATAATACACCTGTGCCAACGGTTTTTCCAATCCTCGGAGCACTTCTGAAATGCGTTTTCGGTATGGCCATCAACTCTTTTTTCGATTCCGACTTGATCCCATCAATTCTGACAAAACGATTTCCTTTCATTGGTTTCTTCAGTTTTGGGAATTGGAAAAAGTCGCAGGGAGCCAAATCTGGCGAAACAATGGTTGAGGCATTAGTACGGTTTAGTTTTTGGCAAAAAAAAATCACGAATAAGAATTGATGTGGGAGCTGGTGCATTATCGCAATTTCGAAACAAACTGTGATGCCACACTGCTTCGAAGATTTTCATTGTTGACGAGTTCGCACTTCCAAGATGCTCATCGTCATCAACATCTTCTCGGCCTTCTGTAAAGCGCTCGACCACTTATAGACACTTTTTTGAGACAAAGTTTACTTACCAAATGCCACAGTCAATATTTCCTTGGAGCACTTTATTCTATTTTTAACGCAAAATTTAATAGCACACAAAAACAAACTACCAATCGAAATTTACTTCTAATGCAAGCACATGATAAACATATGTGTTCAATTATACTTGTAACAAAAACCAAATCATTCACAGTCCGCGAAAAATCAAAATTCACCTTTTTCTTTCATAGAGTCATAGTCATAGACACATTAATTTTCATAAGTACATACTGACCGCCATATTCGTCATAAAGCCTGCTAGAATTATGAAAATTATCCACCTTTCTAATGTTCTTATTAAGATAGCTGGCAACACTTGAAGAGTAGTTTATACACAAATTCTCCACTTTGTCAGATGTTTGATTTTGCACACGCGAAAACAAGATAGCTAGATGTCGGTAAACCTTTGATTTCTTTGATATGAAGCGTAGGTTTATTTAAGTGATAGTCTTAAATATTCAAATGATAAATTCGGATTGGAGGTAATTACATCAAAATAAATTTAGAAAATATGCCCTTAGCCCACAAATGGATTTAAAGAAGTTTTGGGCTATTATTTTAAACTTACAAAAAAACGTATGACACTTTGTATTCTTCCCTATTTTGAAACAATTTTTTTTCCACATTGACGTTGTCAGTTTCAACAGCGAATGTGGAAACAGTTTTCTTCCAAATTAATTTAAATAAAAGTAAAATTCGTAACAAGCTGCAACCGAAAAGTTTAATCGACATTCTTTACACGAAATATTATTTGAAATAAACCGAAAGTGAATGTCATAATATTGACTCAAGTTAAAGCAAAGATTTATTAAAACATTAAAAACTGCAACTTACAAAATATAATTTATTTGCTACTTTGTACCTGTTTATGCTAAACTACATTTTTAAAATTTTTTGTTTGTTAATATATTTTACGTTTTACAAGTTCTTTCTTTATAAATAAATTTAATATTTTTTTTATTAAAACGTTTAAAACAGATATATGTTTTGGAAATTTTTTTTTCTCAAATCGATTTTTGAAAATTTAAACTTCACATGACACATTTTTTATGAAAACTTTCTGGCAACACTGGTTGTAAACTGAACGTCGTGCTCCGATAGTGTTGAAAGTGGCGCGGTACAATTACATGTAAACTCGTCACTGTTTTAAATATAATATAATAAATTTAGATCTTGGTACAATATAATACAATGTCGTCTGTGCGGAAATGTGTGAATTCAGCTGACAGTTTTTGTTATATTTGTGACGAATATATAATATTGAAGCAACAACTTAATATTTAGGACTTTGGCTTAGAACTTGGAGATCGGGATAAAGTTTAGGCATCTCATAAAGTCTGAAGCCCATATGTTGAATACCTTTGAAATTGGCGAATTTTGCGAGTAAAAGAAACATTGTGATGATTGTTACTTTTTTTCGGGTAATGTGAAAGATTATAATTCAAAACGCAAGCTTCCAATTTCATATCAAAATCTGCAATCAGCTATTCGTTCCATTCCTCATGAGACCGAAATACCAGTGCCCAATGTTCTTACTACCTTGGAAGACATTGCAAGTTTGGACGAAGTGCTGTTACGAATTTGAAGATGACGGCACTCCGAAATTATTTTCCCACAGCGAGCTA